GTTCGTTCCTCTTTTGTTTCCTATTGGGGGGGGGGGAAACCACTTTACCTTTGCCGACCCTCCTTTTTTGGTTGTTTTGGTCTCCTCTGTGTATGCTCACACTGGGAACAGGCTCCAGCTGTTCGTCTGCCTCACTGATGTCTGACTCTGAAGGCAGCTGATAACAGGCATTCGGCTCTGGCCCCCTCTCTGCCTCCGACACAGAGCCCTCATCAGAGCCTTCCCCAGACTCCAGGACGGGCCCATCTTCCTCCCCAACCTCCTCACTGTCCGACTCTGCTGCCAGCTCCATTGGCCGCTAGTGGGCCACAACACCCAGGATCAGATCAGTCAGGCAGATTATGGCTGTTTTATGATGCCGAGCTGCTGTGTGTTTTTATTTTTTGTGTCTAATGGTCACATAATGTGAACTTGGCAGCTGTAGGTACCTTGAAATTTAAAACAAAATAAAATCCAGGACTGTTAAAAGAGGACTGCATTATGATGTGATCCCAGAACAAAGCAGGGCTGAAATCCTCCTGGTTCAACCGAACCAGTAGGGGTGATTATCCTTGATTCTGTGAACCGGTAGTAAAATGTACTTAGCGTCTGAGGTAATGACAAGGCTCAGTGCTCATGCAACAGGTTTATTTCAACAGCAACCAGAACAAGAACAACAACCAGCGTTCTGACAGCTCTTATATACTCGCAGCTGTCAGAGCGTTATCCAATAGGAACACTCCAAATCTCCTGCCTGAACACAACGTAAATGGACCAATTAGCTAACACCCTGCCTGATTGACAGGAGAGGGCGGGACGCGTAGGGACGTAACAGGTAGTAAAAAAAAAAAGCTGAGGATCACGCAGCTCAGCTGTGAGCCATGTGATCGTCGGAAGCTTTTCCCCCCACTTTTTAAAGCATTTTTTTTCCTGCCGGTTTGGGCAAATAGGCAGGAAAAAAATACCTTAAAGGGGGTGGGGGAAGCTAGGCCAAAAATGAGGGGGGGGTGTGTGCTAAGAGAGAGAAAGTGATGGGAGAAAAAAGAGAGGGAAGGGAGAAAGAAAGAAAGAAAGAGAAAGGGAGGGAATAAGGACCACAAACCTGGCACTAGATGCAGCTTCAGAGGATACCTTGAAAGAGCACAGCAATCCAGGGCTGGAAGGGATCTGCAGGTCATCTAGTCCAACCCCCTGCTCCAGGAGGACATTGTTAAAACAAGTTTCTGTCTTTTGACACACCCACACACACAGTCACATGACTACATAGCCACGCCCACCCATGACCCCTACAGAACCGGTAGGAAAGTTTTTTTTAGATTTCACCGCTGGAACAAACCTCACGTTCCCCCTTTCTTTTATTAGGATGAAGGGAAGAGGAAAGAAGCGCTGGAGATGTTTGAGGATTCCTCAAAGCAAGGGTGCTTGCACAGCTCTTACCTCCTGTGGGAAAATAATCAAAAGGCTGCTGTGAGTTCAAAACGTTTGGCGTCCGAGGCTGCAACGCCGAGGGGCTTCCGGGAAGAGGTGGCACTTGTGAGAATGACTTCCTTCCTCTCTTTTTTGTTTAAAACAGATGTCAGATCCTGGACGATACCTCCAGAGCCTCAGACAGCTTAAGGACTATGCAGCCAAAGGTTCTTGGGAAGCCCAGGTATGGTTGTTGGTTCCTGGATCTAAAGTTGTTTACTTTGTAAAGAGGTGGGCGCGTGACCTCAATGGATGAAGAAAACAGATGCACGGCTGAGTCAACCTTCAGCCGGTGAGAATCAAACTGCTGGCAGTGGGCAGAGTCAGCCTGCAATCCAGCATTCTAACCACTGCGCCACCAGAGCTCTTTTTAAAGATCAATTAATTTGGATGTTCCTTGAAATCTTGACACCCTACCGGGGGGAGGGGGGCAGGAAAGATCCCCTCCTACTACCTGAATAGCCAATCTTTTCTTTCTTGCGCATCAAAGCTGAGCTTTGTTATTATTGTTTAATTGCTAAGTTGTGCCCGACTCGTCACAATTGCGTGGACCCCTAGCAAGGCAGGCCCCACTGTCTGCCAGAGTTTGCCCAACGTTCATTGTGTCAAGGACACCTTTTATCCATCTCATCCTCTGCTGCTCCCTTCTCCTTTTGCCTTCTGTTGTGGCCCGCCAGTGGCCAGCGGAACTGGTGGCAGACTCAGAGAGTGAGGAGGTTGGGGAGGAAGATGGGCCAGTCCTGGAGCCTGGGGAAGGCTCTGATGAGGGCTCTGCGTCGGAGGCAGAGAGGAGTCCAGAGCCGTCCGACAGTTATCAGCTGCCTTCAGAGTCGGAGATCAGTGGGGCAGAAGAACAGCTGGAGCTTGTTCCCAGTGTGCACATGCACAGAGCTGCCAGGAGAAGGAAACAGCTAAGGAACAAGCGCCAACTCAGGAGTAAAGCTGCAGGTGGGCGGTGAATGGCCCCTCCCATAGGCAATAAAAGAGGAGCAAACGAGGAGGGGAGTTTGCAGGAGACAATTAGTTCAATTCATTAGAGTGAAGATCTGTTCCTGACTTGTTGCCAAGTAATTGCTGCTACAGCGTGGCATTTGGAAGATATCGGCCTGGCAGCTCTCCAAGCCTGATCAAGGCCTGTAGTTGTGAAATCTCACGAAAGACTGTTTGCCGGGACTTTGCTGGAGAGGAATTCCCATTAACCTAAATAAAGGAGGTTTTATCAGGACGAGGAGTCGGCTTCATGATCTTGGGAGGCCTGGGTTGGAATGCCTTCCCTCTTCCCCAACATCAGGACCTTCTCCAAGGAATCCTCTCTTCTCATTAGGTGGCCAGGGTATTTGAACTTCAGCTTCAGGAGCTGTCCTTCAGAGTTGATTTCCTCCAGGCTGAGCTCCGTTGCCTTAACTCGGGTTGCTTTTTCACCTTGTGTAGATCACCCTTGCCAAAGCTTGCGGGAACGGGAACCAACTGGGACCGGAAAGCAAGACTTCCGTCGAGACGATCTCCCAGTTTTTCCAGGCCTCTGTTCCTCTGAGCAAGCAAAGCATTTTCACCGTCCAAAAGGGCATGAATGAGACAATGAGGTAAAGGCGTCCATCCTGCTGTTTTTGTCATTTATTTATTCAATTTATATGCCATCCATCTCACTGTTGAGTGACCCTGGGCAGCTTAATTACCGTATTTTTCGGAGTATAAGACGCACCGTTTCCCCTCAAAAAAGAGGCTGGGTGCGTCTTATACACTGAATACAGCATTTTTTTGCCTCCCGAAACCCCACCCCCTTCACCAAAATGGCCATGCAGAGCCTTATGGAGGCTCCTGGGGCTGGGGAGGGCAGAAATGAGGAAAAAAAGGGCCATTATTTGCTCAACCTTGCCCCCCAGTCCCCAGGAGCACTCTATAAGCCTCCTAAAGGCTATCCATGACATTTTTTAAAGAAAAAATGGGCCGTTTTTTGCTCTCCCCCCTCCTCCAGGAGCATTCTACAGGCCTCCTAAAGGCTATTCATGCCCTTTAAAAAAAACAGGCCCGTTTTTGGGAGGTTTGCAGAGTGCAAAAACTTTTTTTTTCTAATTTGCCTCTTCAAAACCTTGGTGCGTCTTATACTTTGAAAAATACAGTATCCTGTTTCTCCGAAAATAAGACCTAAGCCACAAGAGGCTTAGCATGATTTTTCCGGATGCTCATAATATAAACCTTATCCCAAAAATAATCCCCAGTTAAGACTGTCTGCCAGATGACTGCATTTAGTACTGTTTTTCGCAAAAACAAGCCCGCTCCCCCCCCCCCCCAAAAAAGGGGCACGAATAGCCTTTAGGAGTCTTATAGAGTGCTCCTGGGGGCTGGGCGGAGGGCAAAATTGAGCAAAAAAGGGACCATTTTTTGCTCATTTCTGCCCTCTCCAGCCCCCAGGAGCACTCTGCAAGGCTCCTAAAGGCTCTGCACGGCCATTTTGGTGAAGGGAGCGGGGTTTCAGGAGGCCAAAAATGCTGTATTCAGTGTATAAGACGCACCCAGCTTTTCAGTCTCTTTTTTGAGGGAAAAAGATGTGTCTTATACGCCAAAAAATACGGTAGTTAATTTCAGTTTCTTCAATCGTCCCTCTTTCATTTTTTTAAAAAAATTCTGTTTATTTACTTATGAACAAATCTTTTTAAAAATATTTTTTTTAAAAAGGGAAATGACCAATGAAAGAAGCACCGTGGGATAATTGATTCCCATTGGACAGCAAAGATGAATTTCTAACTGCTTTATTTTACTTTATGTTATCTTATTTTATTTGCTCTTTTAGATACATTTTGGTTGATTGGCTGGTAGAAGTGGCCACCATGAAAGATTTCTCCAGCCTCTGCCTTCACATGACCATTGGCTGTGTGGATCGGTACTTAAAATTAAGATCTGTGCCCCGGGCTCGGCTGCAGCTTTTAGGAATTGCATGCATGGTTATTTGTACCCGGTAAGCCCTGTAGCTCTTTGGGGGTGCTGGTGGTAGCTTGGTTTGGTTTTACCAATTGTTATTTAATGGGGATTGCCACGGATTCTGAATGCCATTTTGCTGCATTAGTGGAAAACATGAGGACTCAGGAACAGAACAGAATAGAAATTAAAGGAATAGAATGGAATAGAATCTTTACTGATGATGGAATAGAATAGAATAGAAGAATGAATTGAACAGAATAGAGAACAAATTGAATAGAATAAAGAATGAATAAAATAGAATAGAAGAATGAATAGAATAAAGAATGAACTGAATAGTATAGAGAATGAATTGAATAGAATAGAGAATGAATAAAATAGAATAAAGAATGAATTGAATAGTATAGAGAATGGAATGATAAAATAGAAGAATGAATATAATAGTGAAGAATGACTAGAACAGAATTGTATAATAGAATTGTAAAATAGAAGAATGAATAGAATAGAATAAGCTGGAAGGGACCTTGGAGGTCTTCTAGTCCAGCCCCCTGCTCAAGCAGGAGAACCTATACCGTTTTAGATAAGTGACTTTCTAGACTCTTAAAAACATTCAGTGGTGGAGCACCCACGATTCCTGGAGGCATTTCCTTGAAAACATTTCACTTCTCAGCCAAGAAGCTTCTTCAGAACTGTTTTGAAGAAGCTCCTCGGATGAGAAACGAAACATTTTCAAAGAAAAAGCCAAGGAAGTCCAGTAGCCTTTTGGAAAAAGCACCTTTGGGACAAGATGGTATACGTCTGGGAGACTGGGAAAGAGATGCTGACAAGGGAATGGTCAGATAAGAGACAACCAAACCCACAATTGCATAACAGCTGAGGCAAGAAGTCAGAAGGTACCTCCTTAGTTTCTTGGGCTGCAAAGGAGACAGGATGGGAATTGTACTTAAAAGACTTGCAAGGTCATATCCATGTAGGTTCCCCTTGCACATATGTGCTAGTCGTTCCCGACTCTAGGGGGCGGTACTCATCTCCGTTTCAAAGCCGAAGAGCCAGAGCTGTCCAAAGATGTCTCTGTGGTCATGTGGCCAGCATGACTAAATGCCGAAAGCGCACGGAGGGCTGCTACCTTCCCACCAAAAATGGTTCCTATTTTTCTACGAAAAGGTAGTTCGAGAGGGCTGCGTGCAAGAACCCATTTTTGCTGGCAGAGTGCTCGGCCCACCACAGGCATCCCCGACATGAGTGATGTGCTGGCCATGCCCCCCACCCCCCCAAGGTGAAACACAACCCTGATTGCGGCCCTCAATGAAATTGAGTTTGACACCCCCTGATCTTAGCTGCTTCTGGAAGGGGCAGTTTAATATTATTTCTATTTCCCCCGCGATGTTGGCCTTTCATGCAAATTGCTCTTGCGTTGCAGCTTCGTGAGCAAAGAGATTCTGACGATTCGCGAGGCGGTTTGGTTAACGGACAACACGTACAAGTACGAAGACCTCGTGAGGATGATGGGGGAGATCATCTCTGCCCTGGAAGGCAGGATAAAGGTAAACTCGTACGGAGAGGATGGACTTGGCCTTCAGCATTGGGATTCTAAGTTGAGGGCTGCCTCCTGTTCAGTCGTTCCTAATAGCGATGTTAGAAGCGATGTGCCTTGGAGAATATTTTGGACATGAATATCATATGTGATTCCTTTATCGCTGCATGAAAAAATATTGAGCAAATCCCACTCCTTTGAATTTTCCCAATGCTGTTTAATTCTGCTGTGACTTTCTCAGCTCAGATTCAAAATTTAAAACTTAAGTTTTCTTCCTTCCTTCTATCAGGTCATTTCTTCCTCCTCCTTCCCTTTCTTTTATCTATCATGTCATCCCTCCTTCCTTCTTTCTATCTATCATCCCCCTCCTCCCTCCCTCCTTCCCCTCCCTCCCTCCTATGATGTTCCTTCCTTCCTTCCTTCCTTCCTTCCTTCCTTCCTTCCTTCCTTCCTTCCTTCCTTCCTTCCTTCCTT